TCTGTGGCTCCCAATGTACTGGATTTAAGCTCACACTCGTATAGTGGGAAACAAAGCTTCAGATGAAACAACTAAATGGTCAATAATGCGCACAAATACTCAAAATATTTTAGTTCCACTGCTTGAAACATCCCTCAAAACGAAAAGTCAAACTCTTTAAATTTAGAACATGGCATCAAAGCTAGAACAAATGTAATATTGGATCAGAGCTCTTGAATCTTGCCTACATGTTTCCAACGCATTAATAAGGAAATATCGCCTGGCTTGTTTTCCACATATCTCCACTGCTTCCGTCTCAGAGGAAAAAATATGTGTCAATGCGAAGGATAAGTTATCTGAAAATGCGAATAGCGAAAAATCGTTCCTATGGCCTCAAAATACAGTTAATAATAAGAAATCTCAGTATTACATTGAGCATCTATTACAAAAAGCAGTGGCCCTAGTAGAGTGCTAAATCTTTATTTTGCACTTCAATGTGTATGTGTGTAAAATTTCCGTTTCTTAGATTCATAATATGCCGTTTACGCATTTTTACGTATCGTGTTATATTTGCCTAATCTCGCATTTTCCTGCATCATATCTACCCCAAGTAGCACAGCAACGTCGCAACGATGTTGCAAACTCGTCGCGGATGTCGTTGCAAAAACATTGCAATATGTTGCCTTTAAGACGCCCAGATGTCCGCAAACATCCACTGTTTAGCAACCGTTGCAAAGACGTCTTTATTACGTCTTTGCAGATGAAGATTTTGTCGCATAGACGTCGTTATTGCGTCTTTCGCAGGTGATATTTTGGTTGTGAAAGCGTCCTATCACGACGTTTTAAAGACGTCTAAATGTTCGCAAAATTCCGCCTTTTTGCAACAGTTGTGAAAATGTAGTTATTATGTCCTTGTGTTACATATTAATTTATGCAGAAAAATAAGCTTAATAATGCTTATATTTTTCTTCTTTTTAAAATTTTGTCTTCCTTGTATTTATCTAAAGTTTAAATATTTGATCATTTCCTGAAAACCAAAAGTAATACAATTTCTTCTCTTTAGACTAAATATGCATAATTAATAATAGCCTTAATTATTTTCAGTACTTTAAACTATAGTTTTAAATTTCTCTTTAGACTAAGTATGCATAATTAATAATACCCTTAATTATTTTCAGTACTTTAAACTATATTTTTTAAATAACTTAAATTCTAAGTTATGATTATTTAAAATTTCATCATTTTTTTTCCTTAAGTGAGAATAGTTATGAAAGTGGTTATTATAAATATATAACATTAATAGTAGGTTTTAAGTAAATAAAACTCAATTAGACATAAATAAAAGTAAAGCTATATATGTGGGTAAAAAAAGAGCGTTTTGATAACAGCATTATCACATTTATTTCTGTTAAATCTCAGAGAAATTGAAAATTGCCCTTGTCATGATAAATTAGGACGCGGTTCTTAAGGTAACATAATCAGTACTTTACCTGAACTCAAGTATAAATTTATGCGCGTTTCACAGTAAAAAGTATAACCATTAACTTCTATATCTCCAGGATATGCAAATGAAAGACTGTATAAAGCAGTTAACAAATGTGGTCAAAAATATACCTAAATCTAATTTCTTCCCATATTCATATATAAAATGAAATAACAACCTTACAAACAACATACATGTCACTATTCAAGAAAAACACATGAACTAGTAGTGTTTGAATAGATAAATATCAGAAGGAAGGTAACAGAATTAAAATTTTCAATTAATAAGAAAATATTTGTGTTTTTTAAATAGTAAGCAATTAAAAGAGCAATAATTATGGATTGTAGTATTTACTAGTAATGCTGATGTTTCTTAACACCATTTCTTTCGATCATATGTTAAAGTATTTACTTATTTTTAGTTTCTACATTTTAGAATAGTGGTAGATTACAAGGATTAGTTCATGCACTTTTTATAATCAATAACTTTCCTTTTGTTACTGCACAGAAATAATTTAAATAATATAGTATACGATAGTAAGCTAATTATGTTAAAGTAAGCTCTTCGTTAAATAGAACACGATGAAACTTTTTGTTTCTATTTATTATGAATTTCTTTGTTATCACAAGCACATGAAAAGTAAGAGAAGAAAATAAAATGCACTTAAATTTATCAAAACATAAAACCTAATTTGCAACATTCATTTATTGAGATAATCTAATAAACACTCATAACTGCAATATTTAAAAAAGTAGGGAATTATACAGTGTTTGGAAGAATAGATACCAAACGAAAAGTAATAAAACTGCAATTTGCAATCAATAAAAAATATTTAGTGTTTTTTAATATTACATAATCAAATATCACATAATTATAGATTACAATATTTCATAGAAATGCTAATGTTTCCTTAACACTAGTTTTCCGATCATATATTTCATACACTGTTTAAAATCATTAACCTTTTCTGCATACTGTACAAAAGACAATATACTATAGAATGTGCATTATTATTAATTTTAATAATTAATTAATTGCTAATATTATACATATATTTAATTCATCCTTAGCAGTCATATTAAGTACTGGTACCAGTCCAATAATTTCTTTGTATTTTGAAAATAATGAACATACTATAACAGCTTGAATTGTTGTTGCTTCGGTATTAATTGCATTTTCAGCAAAACCAGAAAGTAGCTTATCGTTGTATGTTATTTTTGGTTTTATATGAATTAATTCTGAGATCCAACTTTTCAATATGAATACAATAATCGATTAATATGAATGATATGCGCTATAGCACTTAGGACGTTATAACCGAAGCACAAAGTTAATAAGAATATCCAAATATTGCACCGCTGGAACCACAGTGATTGGAGACAGACACTATTTCCACACAGAAACTATTTCACGAACCACAGAAACACTATATTCTACACATCACTATAGACCACAGAGACAATGAGAAGATTCACAATGCGTTCTTTCATTGACAGTGCATTACATTTACTTTTAGTATGAGCAATATTATTTATATCAGTCATTGCTTGATTAAATTTCAGACTTGAAGTCAGTCTAATTCAGAAGTCAAACAACAAAAATCAGCGTTATATTTTCAAAATTTTCATATATAACGCTGATTTTTGTTGTTTGACTTCTGAATTAGTATTTATTCGGCGTGTTATTGTGTCTTAATTGAAGTCAGTCAGTTCAAATGCCTTACACATGGCATCTTTACCAAATTACTTGAAAGAACTGCTAGAATCTGAATAAATGGCGCAGTTGCTTGTTCGAATTTGTCAGCTAGCCAAAGCGCATAAATCTCGAGATGTTCGTTTATGTAAGAATCCAGTAAATAATGTACGGGTCTGCTTCTCCTGAGTTTTCCGTTATAGATATTGGACAGCCGTGAATTCGTCCTTACTTCAAAAAATAAGAAATAAATCATATTTCAGTAGTGAAATAATTTCTAACATGTGATTTGCATTGATTTAAGAAATATGATTTATTAAAGCATATAAAATGCATAACTTAATAACTTACTTTATAGATTTTTTCATTTTTAAATACTTTGCTATAATATTTATAGAAATATTTTAAGTATTAATTATTTTAACAAAATTTTAAACAATTATTTAGCACGTACTAATTAAATTTAATAAATCAAAATTATTTATATTAAATTTACATTTCATTAGATGAATCTACCTTAGATCTAGATGAAATAAAGTCATGAAACATTGCAAAGTAAATCTTATGCGGACTTCAGAATCTTAAAAGGGCAGATTTAGTCTCTTTTCATTCTAAAAGTAATGTTGATGAACTAAAAAAAAAAAATGCTAAAACAACCACGTCTAAAAGCGGTCATATCATGACGTTTCAGCGACGTCGACAAATTGCCAAGATGCAACGGCAAATATTTTGCGTCTTCGCAACGTTGTAAAGACTTTGTAAAAGTTACCGCGACCACTTTGCAACCTGTCGGACCAGTTTGCAACGTCGTGTGCTACTGTCATGTTTTGTGTTTTTAAAGTATTTTTATGTCATTCATAGTATTTGTTGATTGAGTTAAGACTCCTACATCTGTGCGTAGTGCAATTTTATTTTTCCATGGTATATTTTAATCTGAACCGAAGTATTTTGTACATTCAGTATTTTACCATAATTAATGATGTGATACGAAACAGCATAACTAATTATATTTTCCTGACGAATAAGCACGCTTCATGATCTCTTTATATTCTCTCTGCTTAACAATACTCCATGTCTACCACCTTTTTTCCTTACTTGACAGGCGCTTAGCTTTCTTCATCAGTGAATATCAAACAAAACTGATTTCTTTAAATTTAAAAATGCCAAAACGTGACTATTTGCATCATTTCAAAAATTTGTGTGACTGGAAGTACTTGTCTACTATTACCAATGATTACGAAAATAAAAGCTGGGTACTGACTTTTGTGGGTACGGTGCATATATAGTCAGTTACTAAGTTCGATGAGCGATAGACAATGTCATTGTGATAAGAAAACATTTTACAGTCTCTCCAAGTATAGTTTTATTATGGCTGTGAATAACTTTGACGTCATTTCAGCTTTGTGAAAAATTTTGTTCATCTTATGGAAAAGTGGGGACTTGAATTCTACCCCTTAAAGATTCTACATACAAGTATTTCTGAATAAAATTAAGTCGAAAAACTTCCTGATGGAGATATCAAAGCAGAAAATTTTGCGACTTACGGCCATTTCGGCATAAATTATTTTCTTTCAAAAACAATGAAATAATAGCAATGGATCTCTTTTACCTTTTAACAAAAGCTCAGTTACTTCACGAAGCATTTCTTTTTTTTTTTTTTTTTTAATCTTCTTAACAGTTCAGGGAATAATTACTTCTCCATAATCTGTATGCTCACTTTTAAGTTCAAATACGGCACATGTTTGTATTAATTTTCTCAAATATATACCTTAGTTTCTCTATCTGTTTTATTTCCTAATTTTAACTGACGTAAAAGTTTCCTTTAAATAAGAATACTTCTTTTCAGAGAATATTCCCCCCATAAAGAATTCAAAAATCATGATCCAAATGACGTATATATTTCCATGAAGCATCCATTAGTCCACAACAATGGAAATCAAATAAGTGGCCAAGTTTCAGCTCAAACTCAAACATTTGGAGGACAGCTATCACCTCTCGGTTCCATGTCCCATAATGTGTATAATCAAAGCATTCCAAGAAGTAAGTAAGCTTTATTTTTCGCAAGTAAATGCAATTGGAAGGGCATAATTACCATGAATAAATTAGTAAATATTAATAAATTCGCAATCTATATTGCTAAATGAAGAAAACAGACTTTCCTTCAGTTAGAATCATGGATAATATTTATAAAGTCCTCACACTTTCTTAAAATTTATCTTCCTACTCAAGGACAAATTTGAAATGTCCTGACACATGGGCACATATTAGTGCACAGGTAAAAGCACTACCTGTTGACTTTTTGAGTAGCTGCAATAGTTCACAGAAATCTACCAGATTCAAACTCAACAAACTTTCAACGATTCCCTGTTTCCATGATTCTTTTTCTAGCTAACACCATATTCTAAATGATGTTAACTAGAATACTACGCTGGTTAGAGACAACCTGGTAGTTCAGAATGTGTTATCTTCCCGAACGAATCACATCCATCCACTCTGTTTTGTAATTAAATCAATTCGAATCGAGGATGCATATTTGTACTTATAACTTTATTTCTTGTTCGTCGTACAATACATAATCTAGTACAGCTTGCAAAGAAAATATTTCAACGTAGAGAGTTAAACTGATTTGGAGGGATTAGGTTTATCATTAATTTTTCTGGCTAGGCACAACATGTCATTAAGCGTAACATTTTGGATCCCCGAGAGAAATTTTACGCGTAGAATTAGACCGACAAATTACTTTCATAAGAACATTTTCCTAGGGAAACGTTGTGTATTACTGCCTGAAATGGTGCCTGAAACGTTATTGAGTCATAGATTTTTTTAATATGTGAGCATTATTACGGAAAAGCTTCAAAAATTAAGCTTTCATATACAGTCTACATAGTATTTTTGTTATATTTGCATCCAAAATGATCAAAATGAACCCTGCGTTATTACGGCGGATTGTTTCACTACCCCGGAACAACTATTTGAATCATATGGAGAAATAGCTGCACTAACGCAGGGTTGAAGTTGCACAAGAACAACTTTTTTCTTTGGAAAAAAAAATCTGTACTTTTGATTACGTTATTATTTTGTTTATATTATGAAATATTATTGATGCCTTAAATATACATATCATGTTGGTATTCTACGAAAACTGGCAGAAACTTTACAGTCGCTTTAAATTTCAATTAAAAAAAATTGGTTTCGATATTACAATATAAAATGTCAATCCCATAGCAGTTTTTAAAATCCGGTAAGAATATGATAGAGTTCCTCGAGGGATGCCATTTTTAAGGTATTTATGTTAATTAACCAATTAGTATGATTTAAACTTTTATTACAAATTATCCTTTGCATATTCCTCACTAGAAGTCAAATTAGTTGTTTTGCGTATTTAGGCCGAGGGTTTAGATGTTTGGATTAGAACTTATGGCAGCCGCGTCTTGCTGTTACCTTTATCTCCAGTTCTGCCTAAGTTGTATTCCGGCTTTAGCGTCTTCCTAGCCGACGTTTTAAAATACGCGATATTAATTCCCTGAGTCACCAAAGTCTACTTTATGCGAAGTGTATTTATCTACATTTGTAGACACATACACTAACATGCACTACATACACTACACTACACATACACCTAAGTCTATGTATCTACGTTTGTAATTTAACTTTCTGTTGTGTCCATTTAAATACCCGCAAGTCGCGGTGGTTCGTTTATCGCACAAACTGTGTTTTTTTGCTCATTTAGAACTTAAAAAAAAAGATTATTTAAAACTTCTTTAGAATTTGTGATTTGTTTCAGACTAGGAGATTATTCGCTGTCAGTCTAGTAGGGTCTGCAGGACTTTGACATAAGCTTCTAAATATAGTAAACACTCTACAACTTTTATTAAAGCAATCATTAGTCATTTTGCGTGGAGGATAAAAATACAATGTTCAAATTACATTAACCCCGCAAGAAAAGGAATCTATGCTTATAACATAAAACTTTAATTCTCAAGTTCATAAATATGAAGCTTAATAAATATAAAACAAACCATGGGTACTGATTTTGGTTCCCTGGTATTTTTTTAGGATAATTTATTTGCTCAGTTTCTTCTATTGCTTTGTTTGTTATAAGCGCTTTGTTTGTTATAAGCACCATTGTTTGTTATAAGCACTTCAGTATCAAGGGGCAAGCCACAAAAGCCGTCAACGCTAAAGATTCATTTTTAAGGGAATGTCAAACAGTGTGTGTGTGTCTGTGATTATGGCAAAGCCTCGAGGGCTATCTGCCTAAGGGGAGGAATGCCTTCGTGGAGGACTTTCTAAGGGTAACTGGCTCGTATACACGTTACACATGGGGAAAACCACGAAAACGCCCATGTAGCCAGCCCGTTCGCGGGATTCGAACCTCGGACCAAACTACCAGTGTTCAGCGACTTTACCGCTCGGCCGTTGGTGGGCGGAATGTCAAACAGAAACCTTAATAAAAGCTTGATTAAAATAAATCTAGAAGTAGATTGTTTCTTTAACGTTATTGTGTTAGAGTGCTGCTGATACCTCAGAATTCTGAAATGTCTTTGGCAAAATGCTGCAAGCTGTAAACAATGTAAAATGTGCATAAATCCTTTCCCCCCTTTTTCTTTTTCTCTAGCAAAGAGCTTACGTTGCTCTTTTCTTATACTATATTTACTCCCGTATTCCCCCTTTTTTTTTACTAATTTTATCGCATGAAAATCGGGAATCGCATGAAAATTTTATCGCATGAAAATTTTTTACTAATTTTATCGCATGAAAATTTTTTACTAACTTTATCGCATGAAAAAGGGAAAATTATGTGAATAGTTTAATTTCCACAGGACACAGTTACAGTAAGAGCATATCAAATGAATAGCATTCATAAAAAAAATCAGTAATTATCCCAAAAACATTTATTTAAAAGAAACCGGTTTTCAAATAAGAATACAGATTAATACTATCATTACAATATATAATAAGGCATCTTCATTTCTACTTCACTGTATCTTGAATTTCGGTCGATTTTATTCTTGTCTACTGCTATTCCCTAGGCCTTAAATCATTCAGTGGTACTAGGTCATCTGTCTGTGTCGCTGCAACGGCTTTGAAATCGTCACCGTCTTCTTCAACGTTGAGTCTGTTTTCCTATCTGTAATGATGTTCAGAGCCAACAAAACCATCCGTTTTATTGAAGCTGTTCGCTATCGTCCTTCATCATTCAGAGTTCAAAATCCACGAACACCCAAAATCTACGAACACACACAAAATCCACGGACAAATCAATTAGTACGACTAAAACAATCACTGCTTGGACGAATCCATTTTAAAATTTAGTGGAGTTCATTTTTTGAACACCTTGAGGAAGAGGAAAATTGCGTGATTATTTAAAAAATTTTTAGAACTTTGCGCTAAAACGCTAAGAAAAAAAAATACTCGAAAAAGTACGGTAATTGCATAAAATAAGAATACCATTTTTTCATAAAATGATTTATGCTACTAATGGGCTTTATTGATTTAAAGAATCCTTTAAAATCGCTAATTTTAGACTTATCTTGGACTAATGATTAGCCGAGGTATTAATGCATTCGCGACCGCTGACGTGTATTCACGTCATTTCAAATCCTATTCCTGGCTGTCTTTGACGTTCGTTCGTTCGTTCTGGACGAGTATTGCCGCGATATCACACGTTCGTTCTGGACGAGTAAGCGCGACGTTTCCGGCTGAATAAATTTATTGCTTAACAGCACATAACGTAGATAAGTCTGGCGCATAAATAGGAGGTCGAAAATGGTAAGAGGGTGTGACCATACGTCACAAGGCAAGCAAGAGCAAGCTAACAATAAAGCAATGGAGAGGCCTGACAGCCCGGGGTAAATAATAACATAAAAGAGAGAAGTTCAAAATACATACAAAACTTACAATAAGTTACATACAATTAAGTAGTGCATATATGCAGATAAACATAAGATGATACATTTAAAATTAAGCAAGTGAAATTTACACAATATACACAGAAAATATACAAAATACAATTATGAAATAAATTATGTGGGAAAGCTAGAATCGCGGGTGAGGAAAGCCGCGTACGGACATGTACGCGGCGAGTGTTATTCTCTTCAAGAACTTCATAGTTAGAAACTTGAAAGTTATTTAAATGGTCACAGTTGATTGCACGTTCAAAGAAATTAGCGTCCATCTTATGCAGAAATTCCTCAACGCTTTCTAACTTTAAGTCTCTTTGTAAGGTGCCATTTCTCACATAAAAATGGGGTTGGTAATAGTACGGAGGAATTTATTCTGAATAATTTGCAACTGTGCGATGTCCTTTTTTGATGCAGTTGCCCAGGCCGGCGAGGCATAAGAAAAGATGGGCCTTATCATAGCCGTGTAGACATGCCTTTTCTTATTCAAGTCGAGCTTTGAGTAGTTACCAAGTAAGGCATTTAGACTGCTACTAATAGACACATCCTTTCTTTTAGCATTCTTGATGTGATCAGTCCAAGTCAGGGATTTATTAAACACTACACCGAGTTAAGTTGCCTTTTGCACAATCGGAATTTCTTCGTTGAAAAGGTACAATCTTTTAGAAAATTAGGTATTCGGGTGTTTATGTCTAATGACTAGTAGCTGATATTTATGCGCATTTATTGCAATTCACCACTTTTGACACCACTCTTCAAGGTTGGGCATGATATTTTATAGCTTTTGGATCGCATGATCTGGCTTACGAGACTTAACGGCGAAAACCGTATCATCGGCATAACAACCTGAAAAGTGGTTATGGTCTACGTGCGCTTTGGGTAAGTCAGAAGCATAGAAGATATAAATTACGGGACCTAAAATAGAACCCTGGGGGACACCGGTACTGATATGCTTCTTGTCTGAGGAGTCATTTCCGATATTTACGTAGAAAGTCCTCTTGAATGAAGGATCTGAGGAGAAGAATCATTTCTCTACTAAAATTCAGTTAGATGAGTTTAAAAATGAGCACCTCATACCAGACGCGGTCGAAGGCTTTCGCCACGTCTAGCAGGAGTAAAGGCAACACAAAATTTATT